GAAACCCTTTTAGGGTTGCAAATTCTAGTTGGGGGCTTGGAAGAGGAGTTTCCATTGTTGAAAGCTTGGGTTATCCTATCCCTTTTCTTGGTTGAAGACCCATGGTAAATGCCATAACTTCCCTTTGGTATTTTATGACAATTGACATGATTTAGGTTATGGAAATTGGGGATTTTGATAATATGTATGTTGGTTGATGAACCCATGTGTAAAATGCATGCTAGGTTAATGAGATAGTGTGTTTAGGTGAAAAATGGACACCCATTTCGTGTTGGTTGTTGTTCTGACCATCTGACGCGAAATATACAAATATGATATCCGGATATGGAAATCTGAATATTTGGACAACAGCGAACCTATCTTAGTAAAATTGAGATATCTAAAGTTAGAGAGCTCCAAATTGAGTGAGGTTTAGATCTATATGACGCTAACGCATAGAGCTATAACTATACAAAATCTTAGGGTCATTATAGAAGTATATTAATCAAAGTATGAGTTTAAAGTCGCTGCCCTATTCCCGAAAGTATGGTTTGAAGTAGTTGGCTTACGATAAACGTGACTTAAGCTATACAAGTCCAATTGAGGCATGTAATATATAGTTGGAAAGCTCTAATTTAACATAATAAAATTTTAAAATTAATGGAAAGGTAAATCAAAGCCAATTTTAAAAATAGTAAGCACGGTTTAGTGCCGAATACGCCAATAAAGTCAGTTTCTTTGGATTGTTCTTCAAGGAAATGACTATAGACTCTATTGTATTAGTAAGTGATGTTTTAAGATTATGGAACCTTAAGGAAGTTGACTTAGTCCTCCTACTGTAACACCCGTAGTACTCCGGTTGTTAACATACATGATATTTAGCGTACACAGCGGAAGACTTTATATTAAAAACATAATAAAGCGTCTTGTAAAAATACGAGTAAACTTTTTCCAAAATATTTCTAAAATATTTTCAAAGCGTTCATCTGATAAATTGCATTAGCGTAACATTAACATCTACGTCTACTAATTAAAAACCATTGACCATCCGGATATGACCTCAAATATCATTCCTGACGGAGTCTCACGGATAGCATAACGAATGTATTTCAGATAACTGGGAACATAGGTCCCACACATACAATAACCTGATAGATACAAGAATTAAACAGACAGGTCGCAAGTCCCACACGGACTGTGATCCCATCTCGGGTCAATACAAACAATAAAGCTCCATGCCCAAATAACTGAATACATACATCAAGTCTATATTAATTTCCAAAACGTCTAAGCATCAGTAAATAATCCATGGCTCCAATAATATAGTTATTAGCCTAAATAAATACATAATACAATCTCAACATAAGATAATTAAGCATGATAATAATTATACATGCCATCATAAAGTCTAATCATAATATAAATCAGCATCGTCATCCACTACTCCAAGGCGGGGGCCTTGCCCCTAGAAGCATCTCCACTACTCTGGATACCTGAAATGATGTCCCCAAACGAGGTGAGATAACACATCTCAGTCAGCTCAAGGTTCATAGAGGATCCTCTAATCCCCTGAGCTCACTTCCTGCATGACAAATCAGATATAAAGCATATAATACAGGCATACAACATAAACATAGCATCATCATATCGTCCTTGTGTAACCCCACGGTCAAAGCCATAGACGATTATACATGTGTGACTCTAGGGTCAAGCCATAGACAGTCAACACAACCTCAGTATGAATGAGGCATGTATGGAAGGCTTAAATCCACTTTTAATGAATTATTATGCCTTAAGAAATGTTTAATGATTATTAGGATAGTTGACATAACTAATTCCCACATAATTGAACAACATAAAACGAGTAATTAATGGAATGCATAACATTGAGTAATTATAATATTAGTTATGTGGATTGCAATACATTAAGAAAAGAAAAGTTTATTAACGTTTTCATACAAGATTAATTGTGAATCTAAAAGTTAGCTTCCGCGTTTATTTCGGCTTAATACCATTTGCATGATAATACATCGGGTGCACACGGAGTGTTACACTAATGGTATTAAGAATGAGTTTAGAAGGAAAATATCATAGATAGATAGGTGATAAAAAAAGCATAGGAGGTCAGTGATTGAAAGAAAAATCATAGGGAGATTTTTGAACTTTTCCAAAAAAAGAAAGAAAAAAGCAATGTGATCTAGACCCATGCCACGTGGGATATGAGGCCCAGTTCATGAAAGGTCCAAAGGGACCAATAACTAAGACTTCAAGACTAAGAAACTTGGCCATCTTGCGAATTGGCAATCTCACAGGTACTTTGACACACAGCATCAACAGCTTAGAACCTACAGCGTCCCTAGTAACCAATGGCTTAGGGATAAGCACATGCTTCCAACAACACCTACAGGGTGTAGCCCACCAATAGACATCCTACACTCAGGATCACCAGCAAGAGCCACGCCTGAGCACCAATGAGATTAAGTGTCGTTACTCTAAGGCAGCATAAGTTGGACGATCAACTACTATATAAATAGAGACTTAAAACCCAGGTATGATAATCTTTCCCATCTTAAATTATGTTTATCCTGCACATACTGACTTGAGCTTTAGAGTGTCTTGTAGGTACCTCGTTATAGTCTCTCCAATCAACCTTGAGATTCAACCTCAAACAAAACATCCCGCAAAACTGTTGAAGCATCCTACGAAGACTCCAGCTCATAGCACTAACCCCAACAAAGACCCAGACCATCAGCAGACTAGGTTCAACTGTGTGATCCAGCCCAATTGTTATTGAATTAATCACTATGGAATAATATAATTAAAAAGAAAACAACAATAAATTTAAGTGTTGATTAAAAAAATTAATTAAGCAGTTATGATAAGAATTAACAAATTTTTATTAAAAGGAACCAATACTGGGAAATTTTGGTTCAAAATAGTTTAATCCAATAGATATGATAACATAATAAAATTATGTTGAAAAGTAGAAAAAAAAATTATAAAAAAAAATTAGATAAGCTGAGTAATGCATGAATAGTTTAAGTGTTTAACGATAGAAATGACTGTCAAATACTTTAAAATAAGTAATCCAGGCTAAAAGAGTAACTATCTTGCTATCATTTTTATTTTTTTTTAAAAAAATACTATTCTCTACTTATCATAAAATGGATAAGAGCAACCTAAATACCCAAAAATTCATGAAACTAGTTATCTTGCCTGTGTAACGTACAAGCTATTTAATATTTAATATTATTGTTAAAATAATTTTTATTTCTGAAGAAAATTTTATATTATGCCATTATGACTATTTGATTAGCACATTACACCTATTTTTTTTTTCTATTTTAGTTTATTATTCCGTTTTATCTCTCAATCAAACATCATATATATTTAATATTTAAAAAAAATCGCTTTTAAAAACAATTTACTTCTCAACGCAATTTGACTATCTGCTATCACTATTGCTTAATTAATTTTTTTCTTGCCGAGAGACAGAGACTATAATATTTTTAATTTTATAATATTACTATTTTCTTTGATGTGGTTATATTTATACCTTCTTTTTCCTTACAATCATTTTTTATTGTTCAATCAAAATTAAATTAGTAGTTACAAAATGCATTGAATAAGAGCTATTAATTCAATTTTGAATTAACGGTAACAAAGTGGTTGTAAAAGATTGTAAAAAAACATGTGATAAGTATAACTTATCCCATCTTTTTATTTTATTTCAAAATTAACATAATGGCTATTTTGCATTTAATATTTATGCTTATTTAAAATATTGACGTTGAGGCAACTTTAGTATGTTACTACCTCTTATCATATCATTTGCAGGGATAGGAAACTCCGGAAATTTCAAATCTACATGATTCATATTTTTTAGCAATACTTATACTTATACTCTCTCTTTTGAATTTCACTGCTCAATTATTTTGTTTTAAACAGACACGTATTTAATGAAGTGATTAAATTTCTCTCAAAGTTAAAGTGTTTTTTTGTCATATTCTTTCCCTTCATTTTCTTCTTTCTTTCTTTTTTTCATTTCATCGGAATAATATACTTTTTTAGTTAGGATAATTCAAAGTATACTTACAACTATTCATATACATTAAAGGATGCTTAAAAATCATTCATATATATAAAACTATAAACAAAGCTGATGGAAAATATTATATGTATTTCTATGGTTTTAATTTTTTCATTTATACTTTAGCAATAGGTTTAAAAACATCCGGCCTTTCAGTAATTTTAAAAAGTATTTTCTAAGCTAAACCCGAAACCCATAACATCTATCTCTACTCCAAATTAGGGGTGTTAACGAGCCGAGCTGAGCTTTGGTCTTAAAAGGCTATGTCTATGTTTAAATGTATCAGTCTGACCAAGCCTGTTACCGGTTATAAATATAATTATCAGCTTGCGGCCTGCCTTATTTACAAAAAATAAAAGCCAGGTTTAGCCTGTAAAACAACATGTTATCAAAAAATAAAAAATAAAACAACAAATATTTATCCAATCAGAATATACAATCAACAACACTAGCAATTCGATAAATATTCATAAATTCAATGTATATCCCAACAACATAATATAGAACAAAATCATTCAAAAAGTCTGTTTAACCAATAAAATGAGTGAAATGGATTAAGGAGAAAGAGAGAGCTATTACAAGTAGTATAAAAAATATAAAATATAAAATAAAAAATAATAATATACTAGACCAGCCTGAGAGGCTCTAAGGCCGAGCTTTTGAATTGGAGCCTGAGGCCTTTTTATTAAACAAGCTTTTATACAAGTTCAAGTCTGATACCAACAACCAATTTTAGACATGTAAACTCAGGCATTCACGAGCCGAGCCAAAAGCCACTGAAAGGCCCCTAGTTCGTTTAGCACCTCTACCCCAAATGATTTTATATGAACTTTTACCCTTTTCAAAATTTTATATTATTGTTTCAATATTAAAGTAGCTTATTTCATGGAGGTAGTCATACCTCATGGAATAAATAGCAAGCCGACCCTATTTTATTTTATTTTTTAAATAACACATGGAGATCGTTAAACAATTGCAAGAATAATTAAATAAAAAGCTAGTGGCTTCTACGCACATCTTACTATAGAATAGTGATGCGGCTTCACCTTATGGAATATACTAAGTAATATGCAAAAAATGTACATAATAGAACAAAGACAGGACGACAAGTCACTTTTTTTAGTGGGCTTGTTGATTAGTCCCATTTGCTCCAATACGAAAATATCCAATAATGGCTTAACCATTCTCAACAAAACCACCTTCTTAGCCATCATGGATATATTGACTTCAATTCAACCCTTTTTGGTCATGGTCATGCCCCTTTTGGTCATAATATCTTGAAGCCACCATGAACTTGAACATGAAAATTACAAAGAAAATTGGCGCACTAAGTCCTTGGATTCCTCCTAGTCATGCCCCTTGGTGTACGCACAACAGCATCACGGCGAGTTTTTAACAAGGCTTGACGATCCTTAATTGTTTTATCAAATAGTCTGTTCTCTGGATTCTCAGCATAGCACACATAGTAACAACTCACACATGCATGAGGCACTGCCATGGCTATCCTAGTCTGCAAATTCAAAAAATTGATTATATTATGATTTGATCACATGCTAATTAATCATTGCTAACTAACCAAAATATATATATATATAATAAAGTGGTCAAATGGGGGTACCAACCAAAAGGTATCCAATGAAGAATGTGAGGAGGGATAGGGTGGCTGTGAAACTTCGGTGTACTGTGTGAGTCCAAGCAGCCACAACAATGACACACATAGCACCACTGCAAACTCCTGTGAGGAAGCAAATTGAGCTGGTTATATCAGAGTCCACAATTTGCACCATGTCTTCATTCTCAAAGAGGGCCCAAGTGTGTTGGGATGCCATTACAAAACCTTTTCCATATGCTGCTATCTGTTAAGATCAATTAAAATATAACTTAAAACACTTAAAAGTAAATAGTTGGTCTCAAAACCATGAATCAGTCAAGCTGAATATACAGTTAAAAAAACCTTCAGGACAAGAGAAATGACAAATCCCGGTGTACAAGGCTCCCCAACTTACGAAGATGGGGTGAGGGTCGATTGTACACAACCTTATTCTTGCATTTTTGCAAGGAGGCTGTTTTCAGACTCAAACCCGTGACCTTCCGATCACAAGGAGCAATCTTACCGCTGCTCCAAGACTCGCCCTCTTCAAAACAAGAGAAATGATGACTATAAAATTTGAAAGCCGGTGGGGACCATACAACAAAAGGGGATAGTGGCCAAAGTGCCACTGTTGGCAAAAAAAAACACCAAAATGTCACGCCAACAGTAAATTTTGCCAAAATGCCACGTGGCATATTTCGCTACACTGTGTAGCGAAATACGTGTGCAAATATTTCGCTACACGGTGCAGCGAAATATGCCACGTCAGAACCAAAAATGCCAAGTGTCAAACAGGGAAAATTTCGCTACACAGTGTAGCGAAATTCTCCCATCTGACACGTGGCATTTTTAATTCTTTGCATTCTGACGCGGCATATTTCGCTACACCGTGTAGCGAATTATTTACACACATATTTCGCTACACAGTGTAGCGAAATATGCCATGTGGCATTTTGGCAAAATTTACTGTTGGCGTGGCATTTTGGTGTTTTTTTTTTCCAACAGTGGCACTTTGGCCACTGTTCCCAACAAAAGAATCCAAAGAGTATCAGATAAACCAAAGAAAATATTAGGCTTATAGATAAATTTTAGTGTTAATAACAAACCAGTACAAAATATTAAAAACAAAATTTCATTGTTCAAAATTCTGAAACCATTATTTATAAGCTAAGAAAACTAAACTTTAATACTAATTGAAGACTAACAATTCAAAATCTCTTATACCATAACATTGACTGAAATAGTGTCTTACACAAAATATGCAGTTATATATACCAATTAATTATTTGTTTGTGAATTTACCTGTACATATGCCCAACCATTGCCATTTCTGAAAACGGATTCCATCAGTCTCAAACAACAACGAGCACAACAAAACATGAACTCATCTTCTCCCTCAAGCAAATTCAGTGCCCTGGCAACAATTCTCAGTGCTTCAATTGTTGGCACAAAGAGAGACCCCAAACAAGCACTTCCAAGATTCCGGGTCAATGCTCTCTGAAAGCAAAATGGAGTACTAGATTGCATTCCTCTAAGGTAATACAAAGCAATAACCCTACTAACAGTGATATTAACAACATTCCTCATGACCTCTGTAGTCCAAGCCAAACTCAACACCAATGCAATGATGACCAAAGGTGGAAAATAGAAGTTCAATGCTCCAATCACTGCTAAAACCCATAGAGATATCCACAAGAATCCAGCCCAAAGCATATGATAAGTTGGTCGATTCAAATCGCGGAAGTTGGAGACAGGTTCAAGTGATAAACTCAAGATCTTACAACAAAACTTAATTCTATGACTAACCCAACAAGCATATAAGCCATTTCCAATTGCAAAAGCAATGAAACAAACACCAACACCATCAGTGGGAGCCTTTTGGAAGCAAATGAGAAGAATCCCTGCAGCCAGAGACATCAAAAAAGTAAACCACAATATGAAATGAACCATAAATGTGGGCCATCTCCTAATTGCCTCTTGCCAAATGAATGCCAGAATTATGCTCATAAAAGCTGCTGCTTCCACTTGAGGAAGAAAATACTTTAACACGTTTTTCTCTTTCCTCTTCATAGAATCTGATGCTTGGATAAGCCCTTGAATTCCCTTGAACACAAGAAAGCACACCAGTGCAATAGCTATAAACATGTGGACAACAAATAGAAACAGGGATATTCTATTGGTATATTTTCTGGAATTCAGGGTCACTGGTTGCTGCTGAAAAAGGAAAAAGAATCCATGAAAATCAAAATCAAACATTAGAAACAACAACAATACATAATCTTTGACAAAAACATTTAAATTTCCGTAAAGTATTTGACTTGAACAAGCCCCTTTTTATTTTTTTTTGCAAATGTAACAGAACCAATAACAAAAAAAAAAAAAAAACACTCACTTGTTGTGGTGGGGTTGGAGTAGAACGTGTGTGAGAACGTTGAGATTGTTGAGATTGAGGTTGAGGTTGAGATTGTTGAGATTGAGCAGCAGGAGGAGGAGTTGCAACTCTGGTGGAGCTATTAATCACAATCCTCAAAGGGTTAGTGGGGTTCAATCTGTTGAACCTAGAGAGATTAAATTCTTCATGATAATTATGAACATCACCACCATTACTAACATCATTGCTATGAATCACTCTCTCTTCAAAACCCACTTTCCCTTTCTCCAAATCCTTCACTTCTTCAACCTTATTCTTTGCATCCCCTTCTTCTCTCACTTCAGCTTCAGTTTCATTCTCTCTGTCAACAACAACCACCTACCACACCAACAAAAGAAAATGATAAGATAAAAAAAAGTTACATAAATAGCAACCCTTTTAAACACATAAAGCTAAAAAAAATTAAACATACAGGTTCTGCGGCACCCATTTGAAAGCTCAGTTGAAAGGGTGATGCGGCGGCGACAACGGCGGTGGTGGCGGTGTTGGTGTGTCCCAACAATGTTGTTGTTGTTGTTGTTGTTGTGGATGACGTTAATTGTTTGCCCTGTTGTTTTCATTTGGACTTTTTACAATTTATATTCCGTTCTCGAAAGTAACATTCTATGTTGGACCCACGGGTGTTAAGTAACGACCAGCACGCCACAACAGCGCGTGGAGACACGTACCAATGAACGGAAAAATCACTGCTTTCCACATGTCAGAAAAAACATAGCACGTGCAAATGTGATGAATTTTCACTAATTGCCTCCTTAATACTTTCACGTTTCATGATTCACCTAGTTATATTTATTTCATTATTTCCGATTTTTAATAGTATATGAGTTTAGTTCACTTTTTTTGGTAGGACATTTCTTTCTTTCTTTTGTATAAATCTGAAATTATTTTTATTCAATTTTTTTATCACCTTATTTTTGAAGTATGGTCTATCTCTTTATTAGAGCAATAGATGTATTGAACTTTGTCACCGAAAAAAAATGAAACTAATCTTTTCTAAGAAAAACATATCCTCTAATCCAAAAAAATTTCAATAATTTCGAACTTATGAAAAAAGCAAATCCTTGATTAAATGCTGTGACATATATGCAGTTTCTATTTATACTTCTCTCTCATCATTGTTAATATATCTATAACAATTGACATCATCTTATATAAAATGGTGTGACATAAAATGATCCACTTTTATAATTTTTATATATTTAATATGATGATTCTTTCCTGAAAGTCATTTTGTTTTTGGTTTATTTTTTCTTACATATTGTCAATAATTTATATTTTTCAATGTGAGTCATAGCATGCAACTAACATTCCTAATATAAAGGAATGTAATTGTCAAAATGCAAAACATAAACTTAATTTTTTTATTAATAGTCTCTTTAATACATTCACGTTTCATTTATTTTTTTACTTTTAAGGCTATATTAGTTTAATTCAAATATTTTTAATTTCAGCAATAAAAAGTATGCATTAAATAGTAAAAATTAACTCATGAAAATAGAATGTAAAACTTAAGGTGAGAATATATATGTCATTTAATATGCTCAGATCACGTAATAATTAATTAGTGGCGAAGCCACAAGACACTAGCTGATTTTCAAAAATATTATATATTTTTTAAAAAAATTATAGTATAATCTTAGTATTGATTGCGTTTTTAAAAATAATACAACATCCATGACCTCCTATAAAATGGTATGATATGGGAAGATTCATCTCCAAAAATTATATACTTCTTACGAAAATTCTTTCATGAAACTCATTTTCTTTTTCCTTTACTTTTTTCTTACAAATTATTAATAATTTATATTTCTCAACGTGAGTTGTAACATGTAACTATAGTAACTTCTATAAAGGAATGCAATGGTTAAAATCACAAAAATAAACTTAATTTTTCATTAACAACCTCTTTAACACATTCATGTTTCATTTATTTCTTTATTTTTTATATTATACTACTTTAGTTCATGTTTTTAATTTTAATAAAATATATGCATTAAATACTAAAACATTTACTCATGAAATGGAGCATAAAACTTAGGGAAAAGTGTCTATCATTTAAAATTACACAACTTACATCATTTCACTCTCACAAAGAGGTGGGGCCCACACCTTTATTTTTTTTGTCAACTCTCTCTCCTCCTTTATCTATCTCTTTCTCTCTCTTAAAATGACACAACTTTACATCCTTTAAAATTATACACACTTTTCCCTAAAACTTAAGGCGAGGAGATTCTCTCATGTTACATTTAATACATTTAGATCACGTAATATGAATCCATAACCTCATATAAAGTAGTGTGATATGGGAATATTCATTTCCAAAATTTATATATTTCCTATGATAATTCTTTCCTTAAACTCATTTTATTTTTCCTTACACATTATAATAATTTATATTTCTTCTCAATATGAGTTATGGCATGTAATTAATGTAACTTCTATAAAGGAATGCCATGGTTAAAAAAAAACTTAACTTTTCACTTATTGCCTCTTTAACACGTTCACGTTTCTTTTATTTCTTTATTTTTAATACTATATCAGTTTAGTTCATATATTTTTAATTTTAGTAAAAAAATATGCATTAAATACTAAAAATGTACTCATGAAAATGGGGTATAAAATAAAAGATGAGGAGACTATCTCATATGTCATTTAATATGCATGTTTAGGTCACATAATATGATCTCATAGTCTCATATAAAGTCTGTGATGTGGAAAAATGATTTTTCACTATTTAAATATTTCATATGATAATACTTTCTCGAAAATTATTTTATTTTTTCCTTACTTTTTCTTACACGTTTCTCAATAATTTATATTTCTCAATCTGAGTTCCAGCATGCAACTAACATCGTTAAAATGAGAAAACTAAACTTGATTCCCGATAATATAAAACTTACATCGTTAAAAAAAAATAACTTCTGTTAATTTTTCAATAGTTAAATTTTTATAGTCTTTTTATCATTGACTAAATATATTTTATGATATTATTGTAAGATACTTTTTTGAGTCAAAGGTAATAATTAAGTAACGTTATCACCGAAACCAAAAAAAAAAAAGAAATAACTAAATTAGTAACTCTAAGCTTGCTTGTCGATATCAAAATAATAGCATAGAATTAATATTGACAATAAATTAAATTAAATCAAATAAACATTATTTAATTCCGAAAAAGTAATAAAATGATGGGAAAAAGTTCATATCACAGGCTTGATATGACAAAAATTGGACTAATAAACAATGAGATTAATTTTTTCATTTTACATCATAGAATTTTTTCTTCTTATCCACACAATGAATAAGTGGAGTTTACAAAAAAAGTGAGAAGACAAAAAAATTAAGATGAGACCACCTATTAATTGTGTGTGTGTAAGAAGAAAAAAATTTCTAATTTAAAATATGAAAACTATTTCCCATAAACAATAGTATTTATTTTTTAAAATGTTTAGTTGAAAAAGATTATTTCCCAATGTACCAAAGCAATGGCAGAGGCAAGAACTAGAAGGGGTGATTCACGACGGATTCAGAATCCGTGAAGGTCAAATGAACGGTCAAGATTGACAAAAGAAGGGTGAGAAAGGACAGGAACTGTTGATGACGACGAAATTATGATAGGCTTAAACTTTGGGATCCCAGAAGACAAAGCAAGAGGAAAGAAAAGTTAAACACGTATGCAAAAAGTTATGGGTACCCCACCACCTAACTTATCAAGTATATGTCATAAAATGTAATTAAAATAAAACACTAACTAGTAATTTATTTGGTGTAAGGAAGGATGTATGTCACTGTTATCTGTATTAAGTAGTGGAGTGCAGTTCCCAAAAAAATAAAGAATACTTGCGTGGTGCTACTTAATTAGAATATATATATCTTAAATTTCTTATTTTTTATTATTTGGTTACAGCTAATCTTGTTAAAACTCTTATACCCGTATATTTCAACTTTATTATTAAATAATAATATGAAACCACGTGGTAGAGAAACGTGAATCAAGCATTTTCCCTCGCATTTCCGTGCATAAATCATTTCTTTTAGTACAGACAAATTGATTTTTGGACACATATTTCGTATAAAAATCGAATTAAAAACCTTTCATCTCTAACAATATGTTGCTTAATCATAACCCAGTTAATAATTGTGCAAATCGTCAGGATTAGTCTTCTTCTTTTTTAGTACATCGATATAATTACTTTTTTTTAGACGGACTGCAACTCTTTGATGTTCCCACAAATTCGGATCGACTATAAAATTAATCCAAAGTTTGAGAGAGATTGTAGGAGCAATTGCATCATATGAAAGCTTTAAGATCATTGTGGTATGGATATAAAGGATCATCATGATTTTATCATTTACCTCTTTGTTGGCACAGATCTCTGAGATGCTCCACACTCATTGTTCCTTTGCGTGACAGTGCGAACTCATGAACTACTGCGTCACAGCACGAATAGGTGTTCTAGCAAACCTTCCAAACTATTTTCGAGCAGTGTGGCACTAATCAGTTCTGAGTTTGCCTCTTTCTCACAAATGACCTAGGAGGCTGATGACTTAAGTGGTAGTATTTAGATGGGTTCCAAGAAACCCTAGCTCTAAGCTCATTGGGCTTCTAGGTTTCTTGGGCTCTTCTTATACTAATGACACATTTGGACTTTAGTAAAAGAGCATAAACCTAACAATCTCCCACTTACTCTTTTGGATACAAACTTAAGTCGAAAAAACCCAAGACCATGTAACCCATAAATCATCATCTTTCTAAAAAAACACTTCATCTCTTGTCTCAAGCTTGCTTAGGGATCTACCATCTATTATTAATCAAGGCTCCTAATAATCAACGAATGATTATCTAATTCAGTGCTACTCCACTAAAAGCCCGAACTTGAACTCCAAGATTAACAACACTTATAACATGAATATGCATCGCCCCTTTGTACAATGTCTATAATTGATTGACAAGTTTTCTGTAACTCAATCAATTATTTATTCTCTTGACTATGATAGTTTCTCTAATGGATTACATGCACTAGCCAGTGTCTTTAATATCCAAGTACCGAAACATATCAAGGGGACATATCCTACAAATTTCATGTTGTTTATCTCATAAATACCGATAATCAAATAATCTCACTCTCAAAGTACAGAATTATTCGCCGTCAATAGATCGAACCTCACTCGTTGGTAAATCAAAGAATGAAAACTATTTGATTATCTATTTATAATAAACTCAGGATTAAGAGAAATTACATAAATATAGTTAACTGGAGATTTGATACCTTATGACAAAAAAAAAACATTAATCAAATCTATCCTTGATCCTTTCAATGTGAATGTTAATTCACACCAATATTTTACAATGATTCAGAAAAAACCATTTCATAAAATATTGCAGCTTAAATAAAGTGCCCAACTTTATTTAACAGCTATGAATCTATTCATCAATTGTGAGAACCTATGATCATGTCCTCCATGAACGTATCCATATGATCATATACTCCACAATTGATCTGGAGGTTGATGTTTGTAAATAGTGTGCAAAATAAATA